TTTTAAAGGTCATGTAACTGTATTAGATTAATTCAAAATTTGAAAACCTTTTTTGAAAATATTGTTGGTTGGTATCCCTGTTTAAATATCAGACTAGTCAATGGTCGATACATTTCGTGAAATAAATATAATATTTATAAGTTATGTGTTCCGTGATGATACTGGCCCAATTTGTATTTACTGAGATACAGGTAAAACAAACCAAACCAGATTTTCTGTTTACTTTTCAACCTTTTAACAGTCAACCGTGATCGCCATTCTGGTATATATTTCACATACCTTGATAATCTTGACAGTTTTACTTATACAAAGTTAGATACATTTCGACATAGGACGACATACACGTCATTCATTAATATTGATTTGCTGTACCATGTAACACTTACATCATATGGGATTATTTACGTTAACGATATGTTAATGACATGCAATCATCCAATGACCAGCTCTTTGATGTAGATTGCAAGTTTTTACTGGACATCATGTATACAATGTATTCGAGTCTTTTAAGGCGTGTAAAAGGTTAGTTTTTGTTGAATTTTATTATACTGTTTTAAAAGTTTAAGGCACTTGCCAAATCTTGGAAGTTTGGGCGTCCGGATTTGTACTCCGAAACTAAAGGACACACCCATTCTTTCTGGACAATCTGATACCACCCACGATCATTATGTGAGATGGTTGTCACTTTATTCACTTTAGTATTTTTAATTTTGACCCTTTTTAAAAACATATATTGTTTTGGGTAGAGAAGTGTCTATTTCGTTGGGCTAGTACATGCATTTCGAAATTCTCATCATTCAGCTAAAAAAGTTTTTATCCTTTTACGTTTTGGTGAACTATTGGGATTTTGACAATAGTTCGTACGCTGAAACCTTCACAAGTAAACTAATTGCCTACCATGTTTTTCTTTAGTTATATAGTAATTATTTGATTTGTATGTTGAATAATCTGTGAATGTCGAGTTAATTGACCTTGCAATTCACCATAAAGATCTGTTCTTCATTAAATTGGTCCTTGCTCTGTTTACCTTCAATTGGTAAATACACCTCGTATATAAATCTGTTTTTACTTTTTAACGGGGAGGTAAATAATTGAGGTTAATGTGAGTCATCGACTCGCTGCCTCAAAATCAAGAGCACTTAATAGAATGGTTTTATCATGGAGTACGCCCTTTCAAACCACTTGCGAGATTTAATTTCCTTTAAATGATTTAGATTATTACTAATTTCTTTCACTTACTATCATCAAAGATTCTCACCATCTCACCATATTTTCTTTTGTGGCATTACTTTTATTGTAAAAGTCTATATATATCTTCAAGCATCGTAGGTGTAACTTAGTCCTAACCTTTCACATTATATGTTCGAATGGGTGTTTTCTTAAAAATTTGAAAATGTGCGAAATTAAACAATACCCTTTCCCTCATTTAATTACCATTAAACAGTTTTGTACGTTTCCTTTCATTTAGCACACAATGATTACCCGATATGCTAAAATATCTCCCTTAGGGCTGTCCAGTTCGCATGGGGTCCAAAAGCTACCCACCTTCTTGTTCTTGTCGTTGTTCTTCTTCTTGCGGGCAATCCTCTTAGAAAAAAATCCTATGGCTCCGCCAATTCAAGTACGGTCAACATGAAACTTGGCGTGCTTGTCCCTTGGGCAGCTGTGAATTGTTTGATGGACTTCGATCCTTGGTTCCTAGCCCATAGTAGGTTCGTGCTTGGTACATTACTTGTTTATATTTCTTATTAGGAAACCGAGACATTACCAAAACGTACGCGTAGTTCATGCATTGGCTGGTGCCCTGGGCGCCACTTAGGAGAGATGCCACTAAATGGTACTATGATCTTGCTCTGCTTAGTGTAGAAAGAAAAGAAATTGAAAAATGGACTTTGACAACATCATAGACCAATTTGCATCAGTGAAAGCAAGGAAGGCGCAATTGTAATTTTCATGTAGTGCAATAATTTGTTAGTTTAAAGATTACGAAATTGACTTGTATTTTTGAGCTGATTTTATGATAAAGTTATCTTTTCTTAAGAAAATGGGTGTCATATGGTTAGACAGGGCGCAACTCCAGTGTTTGACATAGGCCCTATTTTCCGCAGATACGCCACTGATTTCATGTCAGTTTTTATTGGTTATTCATATTTTTCATATTGATAAATGATAACAAAGTGATTTTTTCGTATTCTGAATAAAGGCTGGTGTGTCTTTTAAGAGTTGTATGTGCTATGATGATAATCTCAATGTGAAGACGGTCTACATGTAGAAGACACTTGTATTTGGCCAGGATGCTCTGTATGTGGATTAAGGTTTCTATTGGATAAATTTACATTTACGTTTGATCGCCCTAGTTGTCTCCTTTCATATTACATTCTCACCATTTAATCTCTCTACCTGGCACAAACATTTAAAAACAGCCATTTTTATTATATAGTGAAATCCCAACCCACCATTACATATATACATTGTGTCTGTATAAACTTAAATAAGTTGATATTTATTTTGGCAGTGTAAGGTTCGTTGAACTTTGTTTTTTTGGTGTGTGATTTTGCTTTATATGTATTTGCCGAGAAGATATACAATTCTTTAAGAGTAACACAAAGAACAAAACACGTCGCATATCATCTTCTACTGGACAAATGACTTTGATGGTAGTCGTCTTTTGGCATGTTTTCGGAAATGAGACCGTGACACTACATAGCGCGAAACAACTAAGATTTCTCTTTACAAAAAAGGGCGTTTGGTTTCTGAGGTCCCATTATAACCAAATTGACACTAAAGAGTTCAAGTGAACGAAGCAAGTCAATATTTAATTTTTGATTAACATTTCTCATACTAGTTGTAGAGAATTTTAATGAACTATTTTTGTCTATGTGTATTCGTCGTTTGAAGAAGGTTGTTTTTTTTAGTTTAGTTGACATTGAATAACTTTGTGCTCTGGATGTGCGTCGATCCAGCAATGGATGCCACAAACTTTTTACCGTTGCCTAGCGAAGACTCTTGGGAATATTGCTGTATATTTATACAAAAGGGTAGGATTCGGTTCACAACTTCACAGATATTCCTTTATTATTTAATTCAGTTAAAAGTTTTGGAATATTTCTGATTGATAAGTTTGCACTCCGTGGATAAATCTCCAAATTATGGACAATTAAATGTATGTTCATTATGGACTTTTAGTTCGTAGATCTATATCAATATGGAAACAATTACTAGTAGTAGAATTTAAAAAAAAAAACTCTTGGACATGTTTAAGTCCTGTCACACAATATTTTATATGTACTTAGTCCGCTCGTTTCAATGTTTGTTGGGGATTATCTTATTGTTTTCCTTATTTATTTGCCGTTTGTTGGGTATTATTTTGACTTCCTTTGTGTTGGTTTACAGTTTCACCAACGTACCAGACAAAACACGTCTGCCAGAGTTGATGTCAACCGATATATTTTGATTTAGTTTGTGGATTCCAGTGCCAGTCACACAAGGAATGTTTCGTCTGATACAGATCCACATAAATGGTATACATATGTTTGTTTTGATGGACTACAAGACATCGGATCTGGAATCATCGTCGTTCAACCAAGTTTACTAACTGCATATTAGCAGAACCATCTTTTGAGATGATAATATGTAACAACGTCATTCACCATTCGTTTAAAATAAGTACAAGGTTTTAATGCAAGTTAAAGCTGCTGATCGCCAATTCAGTGATTTTGAATCCCTTGTAAACAACAATATTGTGATAGCTGATTCTCTAAAATGAATATCGGTCCAAAAATGGTTCAGTTCCGTTCTGTTTGATATGATGAATTCGGCATCCAGCGCCACTTATAAGGTTTAAATCACAACTTTTGATGGTCCTCTTTTTAATCCGATCGAATCCATGCAGGGGGATATTTTGATATTTTGGTTTTGTATTTTTAAGTAACTGTTAGATAATCAAAATAATACATTTAAGCATTAAAAAATTAGAGATTTCGCGAAAAATGCAAATGACGGTTAGCGACTTTAATAGATTTCTTTATATATAATTTGAATTCTTATAACCACAGATCAGGAGTTGATCCCATTCATTATTTTACTATTGGACTTGTGATATTTATTATTAGCCTAGTTGCGTTCTGTTTATCTTTAATATTTGTATTGAAACGACAGAAAAGAATTGTGCGTGTCTAAAGATAGTTTATGGATTTATGATTTGCTTTGTGTTTATCTTTAGATGTTTTTACTACTACACAATGTTTGGGTCTGTAGTGACATAATCATATTAAACAAGTGTAATTGCCTTGCAAGACATTCACACATTGGACGGTTATATAGTGACTGACATGGTGAACTTTTTGTGAAATATGTCACGAAAGTTGACAAGCTATCGGTAAACAGCATTTAAATGTTACAAAAATGAGCCAAATGTGAAACGCCTTGTATCAAAATCAATGTAAACTTTTGAAGATTACGTGTGAAGAAAACACAGGCAGTGCCAATTATTGATTTATATGCATGTATATTGACTCTGATTTCTGCCTTTAGGGTTTATGTTTACAATATCTAGGTAAATAAACAGATAGAACTTAGTTTTTGGATTTCACAATCGGGGAAAGATATTTAGATCATACAAAACGAAGATCGCATTATTTCTCTAGCTTTTAGATGCAAGGTAACAACCATATGCTGATGTATTTCATCGTTTGGTGCTTCACGAACCTGTTAGTTGTGTCATTCTAGCGACAAGATACTAGGCTTCACACCTCACGTACCGTTACCCAGGGGCAATATGTAATCAGATTGTTTTATTCTCAAATACAGGACTTTGTTTTTCTCGAATAACTGATTTGCCGATTTGAAGAAAACGTATATTTGCAGACAACCCTGAAATGGTGCGGAATGGTCTGTGTCCAATTTGACAGAAGCCCCCAGGCGTCAGTTCTATTCACTCATGCCTTGAACGTATCAGTTTCCATATATGAATGTTATCAATATGAATTTGTTAATTTCAGGTTGGTTTGAGGTGGTACCAGAAGATGGCCGACCTGTGGAATATTTCGATACTGTTGGTGGTATTACCAGCGTTAAACCTAAACGATTTCTAGTAAGAACATCGACAGTTGGTTATCAACTTAGTGTAGAAGATGGCGTTAGTTGTTGGATGCCGTGCGAGATTAAGTCGGGAGAAGTTCTTACCACGGGTATGGTATACATGGACAATAAGAAAAGCAAATCTCATTCTCAGATGAGAAATCTGTTTCGAAAAATTCTGAAAACGAATAAAAATGCCAAGAAGGAACAGGATTTGAAATATTTACAGTGCTATGATTCTAGTGGGAAAGAAATCATGATTCCTCTTATAATGTCCGGTGTGTTTAGTCCAGTGGGTGAGTCGAATAATGCTAATTATGACGCTGTGTACGAACTTCAAGACCTTATCATGGCATTCGGACTTCCGGTTAGTTCCCAGCTTATTCATTCGTTCAGCAAAAGTGACACTACCTGCCCTCCTGGTGTTTTAAGACTTGAGGGTTGTAGAGAAGAGGAATTTGTGTATCTCGAATCCGTTCCTTCAGCAGATCCGACTGCAGCATTAATTCAAGGCGAAATTCCGTTAGACAGCGAGTGTACGTTTTCGAGGGAACTAATCAAACATTCGCGAAAATCGAAAGAAAAACCTGAGGAAATAGAAATAAAAGACAAAGAATTGTCAGCGCCTGTCACCTCTCCGCCTGTCGAACCTATTTACTCCAGTTCTTCTATAGCGCTCCCGGAAAGGGTCGAAAAGGAAATGAAAAAATCAAAAAGTGCGATCCTTTTGGATAAATTAAGTGTAAGACGAACTAAGAAGGAAAGGGCTAAATTAAAGGCGTTAAAAGAGGACGATGTGTTTTCGAAGCGTTTAAGCCGCGGGGAAATAACTTATGAAGATTTTTACAATGGCTTAGATGAAGAAACGAAACCGGAAGAAGATAAAAATGCCAAAACGGCTAAAAGTTCGGACAATGATTCGGAAACGTATAATAAATCTACTAGCTATAATAATGCAAATGATACTAGTCTAACCAGTCCATATGGAACGACTCGTTCTAGCATTCAGGATAGAGATTTGCCACCTATTCCTGGTGAATCTAAACCTCATAAACCTAATAAAATAAATGACACTGACATCAGTGATAAAGAATCCTTATATGAACGCTTGCCCCCTGCTCCTGAACCGCCTAAAATGAGAGACATGCGACAGAATTCCAATCCCTATGACGACGAAGATGATGGAGGGTACATGGTTCCTAAGAACCTACGACAAGATTTTGACTCGCCTTATCAGATGCGTAGTGATGTTTATCGTCGGAAACCCCCGTCCGGATTTCGTGACCCATCTTCTCGATATATCGTAAAGCAGCGTAGTTGTGATGAACCGCGATCAGGGTGTACCAGAACTGAGGAACATGAGTGTCCAATAGATATAGATAATTTATTTAGTTTTGCTTATAGTCAAGATCCAGCCGCAAAACCGTATGGCACAATAGCTTCTAATCAGTACCGTAGTACCTCTCAGCTTTATGGTTCAACTCCAGGAACCCGTAAACCGTGGATACACCATACTGCTTCAGACGCGGATTCACGGTTTATGGATACTTTAGATCTTCAGACTAGAAATAAAAGTGGTAATAATATTCGTTACAAATCGCGATCTCAGAAAAATATTAATATGGACGCCAACGCTACCATTCGAAGTCACAATCTGCGAAAAGTCAAGAATGCTATGGAAGTTTTTCATTTTACCGATTCGTTTCGTGATCTTCGAACTGAAAACGGAGAAGGTGGTCAAGGTGCCGGTGTTACCACTAACCCTTATAATGATGGACCTAATGCGGTGTTTTATTTGGGTAATGATAGTACACTGTATCCTGATAGTGAACCAGGATACAGACGTTATCAAAGATCGGTATCGGCCAACGGCATAAGTGGATTAAGCGAATCTTACATTAAACAGGGCGATGATTCCGCCATCTCCCTGTGTTCTCGGGGAGAGTACGGCTATCATCCGGACAGTGATTACTCGTACGGCGAATACGGCGAATGGCCGGACGACGGATGGAGTCCACCGGGTCGTATAGAACATCTGACTGTTCAGGAAATATCTAAATCTCTTCGCTATATCGGAATGAAAGATCGAGTGGTTTTGCGATTTGCTAATGAACAAATTGACGGAGAAATGTTGTGTTCTCTGGATAAAAAATTACTAAAAGAGGGCTTTCCAGAACTTAATGCCTTAGAGATTAAAAAGATAGTTGATTTTGTGCGAGGGTGGAGACCAAAGAAAAGGTGATGCAATGTGATTAATTTTTTAAAATTATTGATTTAGATAAATTTGGTGTTGGTGTTCCCATATATTTGTCATGCACCAACTGACAGTTGTATATTTTATTGTTTAATAAGATGGTTGTTATTTTGTTATAGAAATAATCAATGGGAGTGTTACTATGCTGACAGAAATAAGATCCATTAGAACCTGTCCAGTGGTATGTCCTTCATCTTAAGCATTTTATATACAGCGTTGCTCTGGCTGAGCTTATATGGCAGTATGTTATAAATAATAATTATTATCCATCCATGCACGAGTAGCTATATTAACTTGTTAAAGCTATGATCTTTCTTTAATGCTCATCAGCGTGTGTGTAATTTTGTAGTATGAATATATTGTGTGAGATGGTACCTTGTAATATGTCGACATTGTAAGTGGTCCTTATTACATTACATGATTTCTAATATGTCGACATTGTAAGTGGCCCTTATTGTTTTGGTCGTTGGTCAGCGGATGTGCCCTTTTGAAACAAAAACAAAGTATCGAAATTCTTAATTTTTTATATGTTATCTGTAACATCGGGTTCTTCAGGCCATCTGGTACATATATACACACACAGAAGGGTATCCCGGATACTTGTCTGTAGTAGTATAGCCGACAACGACTCCCACAGCATCGTAACCTTTAAAAATTATTCAGGTACTGTTCAGGAAATACATTTAGGCATTCAAATCGGGTCTCGACAGATGCGATTTGCATGCTTAGATGAATTTGAATAGCTAATTGCTTTAGAACGTTTGTTTCGTTGGTAACCCGCTCTTGTTTGAAAGCATGATCTTGTAATTGTAATAACGATTTTAATTTATGTACAATAAATAAATAATAAAGTTTGTTGTAGGAAAACTAGATAATGCAGATGTTGGGTGAAAGTGAATTTACGTAAACTTGTCAATAAAATGTTTGAATTAAACTGTTACGATAGCAAGATGTTGTAATTTTGTGAATGGTTGTTTGAAGTGCAGTTTGGTACCACAAGAGGGTAAAACAGTATAAATGTTTGTGTGTGGTATGCAAATACTGAGGGTAGTAGTTTGAATTGATTGGTCGCTACAAATGTGTTTTGGGACCGTAAGTTTGAGAGATGTTGCGTGATGAATTAATTTTAGAAGGCTCAATGTCGTTGGTTCTCAGCATGCCGATTGTTCATCGCCGATATTTTATTCATCATCGATGATGATTTTTCGTTTAGATCGTATTGGGTCTTTTGATCGGCGGGCCTGTGTGCACTTTTTGTCCCCTGATTGTTTGGAATGATTTTTTTGCAAACTTACTGGCTAGTGTGTGGCTGCTTAATGTTCGTTAGTAGAAAGTGTTGCTTGCTATTAAATATTTGGTCTAAAGCATATTTGCAAAGAACTTTTGCATGCAGTTGACTATTTTATGGATAACTATAACCTTAAATCCAGTTCCATGCAGGGGTGATATCGCAGACTACAAAATGGTCATGGTAATCGTTTTAGATTATATAGAACTCTACATGTTGTCGTATATAGACCGCACGTACATGTTAAACCTTTCTATATCTTCTACGTTACAGTGGAAATCAAAAAGGATTATCAGTAAAGATTATCAGCGAAGATTAACGGATTTACTCCTTTTGTGTGTACACGTATGTCACTGCTTTAGATTAAATGGGTTAGCTGTGGTTCGACTGACATTGGTTGACAAACAATTGGCTTGTCCATTGTCGCATGAATTGTCTAATATAGATTTTATTCGAATTCTTTTTCAGCGCCATTGAAAAAATAATATTCAGTTTTTCAGTCATTTGATATATATATAATGTATATTTGAAGAACCCATTACCTGTATGTTTTGGTTTATATTTATGTATATTATACTTATATGATGCCATAGTTAATATAATAACCCGCGTAACAGATACTATATGTCGACGAACAAACACCACTGCAACCAGGGTAATGGAATTAAAGCGATCTTTATTCACATTCCTTTGTCTAACTATAGATCTCAAGCTTTCCATGATTAGAAAACGATACCTCTAAAATATATCTTTTTTTCATATAATATATATATAATGAACTTGATGATGCTTAATTCATGTATAAATATTATCATATATGTATATTTATTGCCACCAAAAGCCAAAACGACTTTTTGTCCTCATGACTTTAATATATTGAGTGTTTTCATCTGGTCCTGATATGTTGTCATGGCGACTAATTTTTGTGATATATATTATAATTGTTATCTTTGTCAACATATTGATTATTGTATATACTGTCTATAAATAAAATTATTAAAAAATCTGATGACATTTGTCTTTTTTGTTAGAGACTTTTGGCAAGCGTAAATTCTTGGTGCGTATCCGTATGGATTTTGCGTGTGACGTCATCAATGTGTGTGTATTTCTCATACGTGATACGGCAGCACGTATCGAACAGCTTTCATGCGGAAAAGGTCCGTATAGCATTGTCGTCTTTTTACCGTCTTTTTTGCTACTTTTAGACGCTGAAATGTTGTGCCGTAGCGTTTTTATGAATCTATGTGTATCCTAGAACACGAAGGGGTATATTAGATGTGATATTAACCATGATAAAGACTGGAATTTAATCATTATTTTTGATGGGTTTTCTCGGAATTTTCATACATTTCCTGTCTGTCTGCATGCTGGTTGATCTACGTGCTAAATTTAGGACGTGGGACCTTGTAAATCTCAACGTTCTGAAATGATACATTAGTGAAATTGCTGTTGAGTCGAAGTCGAAGATTTTTTAATAAGATTCGACATTAAATTTCTTTATTTTAATAGCTCAGCGACTTTCGAGCGACTTCCCTCCCACCGGGAAATTGTGGGCTAGGCACTTGATTAGTACTGATGGTGATCTTGGTAGATATCTGCCATCATGCTATGATAGAAAATCTGCCAAAACTCAAAAACTACATTGACGCAACGTATCACGTATACGATACTGATACGGATGGGAACAATTCCGCTTGCCATGTCTCTATTCTTGACTAAAAACGTGTTACAAAATTATTCACAGTTAAGAAGCTTTATGGGAGGTTCTAGAAAGAGTGGTCGTTCTCTACCTTGTACACGGCACCTGTCACTATTTACAGAGAGCAAGTGTTTGAACTTAGATTTCAGAATCCCCGGCTACTTTGTAGAAGGTAACCTCTGCCATTAGCTAACTGTAGTCTTTTGTTTAAATTAACTACAGCCAACTTGTTTTCTATTAGTAAGTGCAGGGGAACCGCACCACACAAAATTTACACAAAAGCAAAAACACGGACAAGACATCATACTCAGAAAAACACAAACAGACAAACAATTCAAAAAAGTGAATGGATCTGGGGGCTAGCCTTAAGCGTCCACTGTTAATTTGCTAAATAATTATAGAGAAGTTGTATCAGATATTCTAGAAATACTAAGCAAGTTCGGTTTTGTATGTACGACATCTGCAGAACTATATGGTGTACATATGACCTAGAATATAACATCGGCGTTAAAGTTGGCTTTCCGGTCTCGACAGATATCAAAAGATTACTGTAACGGTTTTTTTAACCGAACTAGAGAAAAGAATGTATTAGTAAAGAGAAAAATGTCGACATGGATAGTGTTGTATGTTCTAATTGTTCTTTCTACTGCCAAAAACATTCTTTAAGAGACTTTTGACAAGCTCTTGTCTTGCCACAGTCTCTACAGTAAATACTACAAAACATCTTGTATTACTTTACATGAAGTAAAAGTATTTCTTTTAGTTTAGAAGTCACGGGCCACAATAGGTAGTCAACATAATTAAATGTAATGAATGCAGGCAGACGCCTTGTGGTGCTTAAGATATAAGCAAATTACACTTTTTTGCGGACCCGAATGCGTAGTCAACATAAAATTGAATGCAAGCAGACGACCTTTGAAGCTTAAAATGTACGTAGAAAGCACTTTTTACGTTCACCCTTTCATTTAACGGTTTTGGACAACAACTGTATGGTCCCTGAGAGCAATCTACAGTATTTAGTCGTAGGGCATATTACTCGACTAATATCCGAATGACCGTAAAGCTAACAGGCCTAATTCAAATACTCCGGATATTGACGAGTAAACTGTTTAAGCGGCATTTAGTAATGAGAATAACACGACACAATTAATAATGCAATACAAGTTACTTTATGGCTGTCATTCTTTGCTTGACCTCAGTCGGTGCTGAAAAGTAGATCGTTAAACCCCATTTCATTTCATTTCCAAGCCCGAAACGTCGCCCGAAATAATAAACTTCTACACAATCTGATTAAAATATAGATCTATATTTCGTTTCGTTTTTTGATACTTTCGATGGCCTACACTACATGAGGATCCTGACCGGTTGTAGTGGAAGGTCGCGACAGAGGTCATATGGGCGGCTTTTGACCAATAAAAAAACGAAATGAAATAGGACCGGCGTTTTAATCAGATTGACTTCTAGAGTAACTTCTATTTCATAAAATTATGCCAAATGTTACTCCGAAACTTAACACAGTTTATCGAGGAATGCCGATTGTCAACGATATTAGCTCGTTGATAAAAAGGGTTAGGGTTAGAAGACGAATATATCTTATAATTTGTCAATAAAACCCCACCCACGTTATATCCAATTTGTTATCTGTTTGAAATAACGATAAGATATATTTACAGTATTGTCTAACCCTGAGAGGGAGCCACGGTGGCTAGGTGGTTAAGGCGCTGGCTCGCTAGCCTGGAGGTCGGGTGTTCGATCCCTGCATTGGCCGAGAAAGTTCATCCCGATTTTCCGACGTGGTTTCCCCTTGTCAGTGATGCAGGACGGAGGGCCTGACAAGGACAGCTGTCTAGTCCTTCGGATGAGACGAAAAACCGAGGTCCCGTGTAAACATTGGAATGCACGTAAAAGATCCCTTGGCAGTTGGAATTCGATATAAGAGTAGGCGATAGTGCCGCTGCCCGGGCAAAATTTCCCTCATAGCACACTGTATGGCGTATGCCCGTCTTCATTAGCCCAGTATAGGAGCAGAACAGTAGGACGTTAAACCCCATTTCATTTCATTTCATTTCTAACCCTGAGAATATTTTACTCAGAAGAAAAAAAAAACAATCTTCAAAGATGGCTGCCCAGAGAAACCAGTCGATTGACTTGACTTGAATGTTGTATAACATCACTTTGCCCGGTTCTTCTTGACTCACTGGAATCGATTCTTTTTCTTCAAATTTAATGTTTACCAAGACAGTGACATACCTTCCCCCTTTTCTTTGTCTCATCTCAAATATCTGAAACTCAAGTTTTTTGTATGTTCTTTTAGAACGAAACAAAAGAAATCATTGTTTAAATTGTAGCAATAGTTTACTATAGTAAATGTTGTAAGATGCGTTCTGTGCAATTATTTGATGAAACAAATCCGAACAAAGGGTTGCAAAACTATGTGATATTAAATGAGATTAGATTTAAAGTAATTTTAAAATTGTGTTCATTTTATCTTCCACGCTCATACGAAATTCGCCTCTGCCCATGATCAGTTAGATTAAGGAGATGATGAAATTAAGTCCTACTTGGACTTCTGATTATCCGAAATACTTTATTAAAAATTAATAAAATCTATATTTATCAGATAGTATTTTGAGATAACACCTGTTAAAACAACATTCTAAAGAAACCCATTTTGCTCTCTGTTCAGCGATTTTTTACAACCCTAGAGGTGTAGGTGAGGTGCTCTATTCGGTCTAATATAGGTTGAAATGAGTAAACTATCGGTTAAAACCATAGATATACTAATATGACCTACGGATAAGGCTGGTCCTAATATAAGAGTAACTATCGTTAGGGGCAGATGAGCGTATTGTTTCGCCTGATCGCGCGGATTAAAATCCGCCAGTGAGTTTTTGCGGCCGTTCACGAATGGGCACACGTAGGGATCGTCTCGAGACTGTATGCCGTTCTGCGAGTAAATTACGTCGATCATGTGACTTGTTCTAAGTCGAATTGCCGAAATCGTAAGATTTCTGCTGTAGCTTAGTATTTATTTGCTAAAAATAAAACGCAGAATACCAAGAAGGGCTCGTTGGACAAATTGAAACTTATGGTAATTTGCTCGTGTGTCCGTGTCCAGCTTATATTATCGGACGAACCATTTTTATAAACCAATCATAGACATTTTGAGATCATATGATATCAATCATGTCTCCGATTGGTTTATAAAAATGGTTCGTCCGATAATATAAGCTGGACACGGACACACGAGCAAATTTGGTCGCCGGCGAAAAATATTCAACCTAAATATACTATTCAAAAAAAGTAGGGGATATTTGATTTTGGGGGCATAATACTAAAATATGCAAATGACTACGAAAAAAGTCACTATAGAACCTAACAGAAGAAACATTTCCAGTTACATGGACGCCCAAACGCACCAATAGCTACCGCATGGAATGCAGGTGATGCTTGGGATCATCATGGGGGTCCAACCCAAGATTTGCACGACTCTGACTTTGAATGTTACAGTCATTGTGGCATTGAATTCCAGGGTGGAAACATCAGTTTAATTGTTTTAGTGACCAGAAAACAAATTTTGATATGCGTCGGCTTACCCAAAATGAAAGGTTACGTGCCCTTGGCATGCTACAGATCGGCACAACACAGGCGGTTGTGGCGCGGACGATGAATGTTTCTCAGTCTGTCATAAGCAGGCTATGGTCCAGATACCGTGATACACAATCTGTACAGGACAGACCACGCTCAATACGACCAAGGGCGACAACTCAAGCCCAGGATCGATTTATCCGTACCTTGGCCTTGAGAAATCGTGTCATCACAGCAAATCAGATCAGCGCTCGTCTTCAAACAGACACTGGTGTGAGAGTGAGTGGCCAGACGATTCGGAATCGACTGCATAGGGGTCACCTTCGCGCCCGACGTCCTCGCGTGATCCCTTGTTTGAGAGATCATCACATTCAGGCAAGACGTCGTTGGTGTAGGGATCGTCAACACTGGGATAATCGACGCTGAAGCAATGTGATGTTTTCAGATGAGTCAAGGTTCACTGTTGATTTTTTGGACAGACGTAGGAGGGTGTGGCGTCGTCGAAACGAGCGCTTCCAAGACGTTAACGTCATCAGACATGATCGATTTGGGGGTGATTCTGTTATGGTGTGGAGAGGCATCACTGTTGCTGGAAGAACGGCTTTACATGTTGTTGCAGGGCGTGTTACAGGCCAGTACTACCGGGACAACATCTTGGCAGTCCATGTTGTGCCGTTCGCACGACGTCATGGCCGCCGTTTCATCTTCCAGGATGACAA